TTTTAAAAGGCGGAGGGACATGGGAAAAATTGTTATAAAGCATGCTTGTCATGCTGAAATCGGTACGTCTGGTCACCCTATGCTAATCCAGAACATCTTAATGTAGTTAATAGTGTGTTTCTTGGGAGTTTACTGATTGCTAAATAAGTGTGATATTGTCGCTACGCCTGTAATTTTATGTTAGTTGAATTCATAGAAAATAATAAGCATAAATAGCAGAGATTGCATTACAGTTGTGAGTAAAATACAGAGAGGCTGGAGAGTCCTACAACATTGCCAATATGTTAAAGAATTATAACAGAAATAGTTTCTAGAAACTAGAAAAGAAATGGTTTCTTCTTAAATTTCAAGAAACCCTCCCAGCAAAGTACAGCATTTAATTGGTTGCCTTATAATTCTTTTTTTCAGTATTTGTCTTGGCTTCTTGTGCTCTATAGTGGGAAAAACTCTAGTTCTGTTTGTTTCTTTGCATTCATTTCTTGCCAGGTATTTGGATATAAAATAAAAGTAGGCACTATAACAGAAAAGAGAAAGAATGTTCTTCAGCATAATAGAGCTAACTGCGGAGTTTCTAGAAAACAAGGTCAGCTCTTTATTTTTGAAGAAAATTGTGGAGAGAAACATAAATCAGATTATTACACACTTAAACATTGTGATGGATATGACACTAGAAATACTAATGCTGTCCTGTATATGTTACCTTGTTTGCTGAATTTCTTTGTTATTAAAAATATAAAATGCTTTCAAAATATGTTAGCATACAAAAAAGGAAGCTTTTCAATTCATGATTGTAAATGGGAAACTAGACCTGAATATATAATTTATATTGGCCTAGATTTAGCAGCCTTTCCTCATTTATTCTCAGATAAATATATAACAGAATAAATAAACCTGTCTATAACTAGACAGTGGTTATTGTTTAAAATCTTTCTTACTGACTTTTTATAGCAATATTTTATATAGAGTGAGAACCTGCACAATAAACTGTTTTTGAATACTGTGCAATGACTGGTTTCATGATACTTTTCATAAATATTTAAGCTATGTTCTCTCTCTCCCTCCCTCTCTCTCCATATGTATTTTTCTATGTATATGTATCTTTTTATGTAGATGCATAGATAGTCCTTGAGATATGATAGATCACTTAATGAACTTTCAAAGTTACAACCGACGCCCCAACATTACATACAACTCTGTTTCAAAGTCATGACAGCTACAGCACCTCTGCATTCATTCTCCCTTCTGACCAACAACAGGGATGCTGCAGAGCCCCCCCCTTCTTTCCCACTATCCCACTCCGCCAGGATCCCCAGCATTTGGATCTGCTCCCCATATATCCATCACCCATCATTATTACTTTTTGAAGCTCACTGCACCTTGTGTTGGGAAAGGAGGGAAGGCCACATGTCCCTGGGCCATGCAGTGGCAACTCAGAAGTAGTCACCATTTTGTCCTGCCCTCTTGTGGGCAGGAACAAAATGGCAGCTTCCAGACAAACTGATTTCTTTTGTTGCCTTAACAAGGTCTGCACAACACTGCAGAAGTTCTAAACATGGCAGAAGGCTGTGCAGGCCTTGTTTTGGCAGAAAAATTGAATACTTTGTTTTCAGGCTGCACAACAGCAACCTGAACATGACTGCCACTTTGTAGGTGAGACAACTGGAATCACGCTAAGAGATTGCACAATTTAGCAATTCATTCTAACCAGT